GCTCTAAGGGAGAGGTGGCCTGAGAAGGAGACAGATCCCAGCCCTGTGGACTGCTGGGCTTGGTAAGTTGTGTGGGTTGCAGAGCCATTGCAGTCTGCTCGGTGGCGTATGGCCTATGCCACCCTCACTTGGGCAAGGTTAGAGCTGCCCGCTAATAACAGAGTTCTTGTTGGATGGGAGAGATCATTTCTCAGCATGCCCCAGAGCTACGCAAACCTAGTGTGCCTGTTAAACCCTTGTGGGTATGAAGTCAGCCTGCCTTGTTCTCTTGGGATCAGCCTTGTTCTGGCAGCCTGCTGGACTCCACAGGGCTGCCATGGCTCCCACTAGGTGGATGGGTCCATAGAGAGTCAAAGGTGAAAAGCCCCTTTCAGTCTTATCCGGTACTTTGGGAACCCTGTAGTATGACCCCATCAGCTGAGGACTCTCCCACAGGAGACATGCGGCCGTGACCTTTGTGGCTTCCTCCAGGGTTGTCCTGTGCATCCTATCGAGAACAGATGTGGCATTGCACACAGCTATCGGGGGCTGCCCAGCTCAGGTCTGACTGATTTGGGACAGTGTGAGGGGTAGAGGAGAGGAAGCCCTTCACTCCATAGATCTGCTGATGCCTCTCAATTCTGAGCTAAGAGCCTAGGGCTAGAATAGCATGGAGAGCTGGGCAATCAGGATTAACAGGTGTCGGCCAAACAGTGTAGGTGGGGAAGGTTGTTTGGTTCAGCATGTATCTGACTAGCTCACTGCTATTAGCCTTTACTCTGGAGATTCTAAACATGTATTTTATTGCATGCTGGAATCCTAGTGGTAAATGTGATAAATAATGCAGCGTAGGTGCAGGTTATGCCAGGAAGTGAGGGGCAAATTGGGAGGAGCTTGTCCTTATACTAGGGGGAAGAAATCCACTGCCAGTCCCAATACGAATCCTGGAAGGTTTGTTCCCTTCCTGGAGCAACTGTGTTCCTTCTGTTTCTCTGTCGATCATGGGAAGCAGATCCCTGGTGGGACATGACATCTGAAATTGTGGAGTCTTCCCTCTCACCACTCCCTTCCCCACAAAGCCCGTACAGTGCCTGTTCGGTTTGTTAGTCCCTCCTGGCTGTGGGTCACTTTGTCCCTGCCCGTGTGTAGCACTGCGCCTTTGCTTGCATCTGGGGCTCTGTGCCCCTGAGGAAGCTACAGACAGGACTGGAAATTGGCTCTGCCTGGTGCTCTCTCTAGGAACTGGACGGAGTCCAGTCTGTGAGGATGTTAGTGCCACCAAAGGGGAGGGGGAGGAGGCATTGGAGGAACCTTCCAGCTAGTGAGACCAACTGGCCTGGGTGCTGAAAGAGACTGGAATGTGCCAGCATTTGACACTTGCTCTGGAGCAGAGCCATGCTGTTAGTGTCCGTGGTAGACAAGACAGACTAGAGGAAGGAGCTTTAGGTTGGCAGACTTCTAATCCCAGGTTGGCCGCTGGCTTGCTGTGTGACCTTGGGCTGGCTACACCTTAGAGGAGGAGGGTTTTGTCTGCTTCGGAGTGCTAAGTGTTCTCATCTCCTGGTCTGTAGATGCACCCTCCTTTGTAACTAAGGGATATTGGGCTGTTGTGGAGACCCTCTCTTCCTCCCCTCCTCCACCCCTCTAGTTCCTTAGGAACCACTGGTTCTCTCCCTTGGGAAGATCTTGACATTTGTGTGTTGACAGCCAGTGATGATCTTGAAATCCATTCGGTGACTTCCTTAATGGGAGTGTGTGGCACTGAATGGAGTAGCTCATATTGCTGGTAGGGTCGGGGAGAGCCTGTTCCCCAGACTTTGGCAGATAGCATTGTCCATTTGCCTTTGGCTGATGTTTTAAGAGTGCAAATGAAGTTTCTTCTAATTTCAGCTGCTGTCTGAGCACCCACCCTCCCATGTCCCAATGTGATCTAAGTGGCCAGGTTGCACTGCATGCTGGGATGATGGGTCATAGTCCAAGGAAGACAGCTGCTTTCAGTTTTTTATTTTCTGTAAGTTCATGGAAGCCCTCAGACACCTGAGAGATGCTGACGTGGCTTGTGTGCCTTCTTGCTTTGCTGTAATAGTTACTTCCAGAGTGGAGTGATTTAAATCATCAGTCTGAATCATGGTTTAACTAAACAAGCAAGAAACCCTGAACTCCATCATATTTAATCCTATTTTAAATTTGTACTTTGTTAGTTCTTTTACAAAACAAAAAAAGAAAAGAAAAGGTTGGGAGCTATTTAAGCATGTAGATTTGCAATGAAGTATGACCTTTTTACTAAATTATATACATGTATAATATATATAAACACACACACACACACATGCATTTACTTAAGCCAGAAGTGGAAACCATTTTTTATCATGGGTCAGTGATCCATAGAAAAAATTAGTTGTGGGCCACATGCAGGGCCATGGGGAGGGCAGAAATGAGAGGTTCGGGGTACGGGACGGGGCTCCGAGCTGGAAACTGGGATGAGGAAGGGGGTGAGGGCTCTGAGTGGAGACTGAGAGCTGTGGATTGGGGCTAAGGATGAGGGGTTTGGGGTCTGGGTTAGGACCATGGGGTTGACAGTGCAAGAGCAGGTTCAATGCTGAGGCAGGGGGATTAGGGTGTGGGAGGAGGTTTGGGGTGTGGGCTCTGGGAGGGAGTTTGCAGTTTTGGGGCCTGGGCTGGGAGGAAGTTAGGGAGGGTTCCAAGCTGGGACAGGAGATAGTGGTGCAGAAGGAGGTTCAGGGTGTGGGCTATAATTAGGCCACACTTGTCTTGGGTGGCTCCAGGCTGGTGGCACAGTGGGTTTAAGGCAGGCTTCCTGTCTGCTCTGGCTCCCCACTGCTCCTGCAAGTGGCCAACATATTTAGCCCCTAGGTGGAGGGGCCAGCCAGTTCTGCATGGTGAATGCTGCTTATACATACAGGCGGAACCCAGCCAATGGGAGCTGCGGAGCTGGCGCTGGGGGTGGGGCAGCATGTGGAGCTTCCCTGTTTGCCCCAGCACCTAGGGGTCGAAGAACAGACTCAGGGCTTCTTACCTGCCATGCAGCTTGTCACAGACCAGATGAAATGAAGCAACAAGTTGGAACCTGTAGTTTCCCTACCCCAATTTAAGCAATTATGTAACCAGGCCTGCCAACATGGGTCCAAAGGGTGCAACTGCACTGGGCCCAGCGACTCAAGACGGCCTGGGGCTCCTGGCTACTGCTGCACTGCCTGGAGTCCCGGGCCCTTTAAATTGCCATCAGAGTGCCACGCACCACAGTTTGGGCAGCACAGAGAGCTCA